TTAACTGTCGTATGTTGTTAACATCACATCCACAACGAAAAGCTTCATTCAGTGGAGTTGGTCCTAAAAGGAATAACTTCGTTTGGACTTTATGACAAGTTTATATCAGTCGGAGATTCCCCATTGTAGAAGACCAGCTTGTGCAATGTTTTTTAATTGTTGCGAGAATTAAGTCTGGAATCAGGAAACATTTTGGGGCCAAATCATATCAAGTCGTTCAGGTTTTCAACTACTCCGCAGGTAGACAAAAAAACCACTAAATAGATGCAATCTGACTGAGCGTCACAATCTTCCTTTATCTCAATAAATCAAAAGCAAACTGCTAAAGTTGATATTATATTCCTTTAATAGTAGGTCCGTCATTCTGAGAAAACGGAGTTTGAGGGCGCACATGCCATTAAGATTGATGTTCATGCTGCCAATTGTGGCAAGTAAGTGGCCCTTTAGTTCAAGAATAAGTTTCGTCCCTGTGCTCTACCTTCTTCCATCACGGCTAGGCTCTGTACTCGTGAGCTGTTTATACTACTTTTTTGTAGTATCGGGATCCGCGCAAGTTCAGCAAACCCACCGCGTACACTCTGAATCGCGAGGAGGAAGTAAAGTCGGAATACGCCTTCATTCGAAAGGAATGATTCCTCACTAGCTCACAGGACACAAATATTAAGTACAACTTTAAGATGAATGGATTGGAGGTAAATTGTTCTGTCGGAGAAATAGACCCTCTGAGCTTAGGCAAGAGATCCCTTTCCTCGCAAAAAGAGACTTTCTCTTCACCGATCGTCTGAGGCCCGATCCGGTGTAGTCCATATTCTATCATGACGATGATCAAACATGGGATGGGAAGAAAGCCTTGCCCTACTGTCGAGTTTCCCTGCTTACTGATCCGAGCTGACAGTGTCGGGGTTTATTGTCAAGTAAAGGTCACATGAAGCTGGACGTCACGGTTATGAAAAGTGATAGTTACTCACTTTACTGTATAAATTAGAGCCAAATTTTGCTCCACTTCAACTGGGACAGATTCGTGCCATGTACAGAGTTTTGCTGATTGCCCTAAATTCCGTTTGAACCTCGTTTTTCCCTCATCCTTCCCTACGATTGATTGGTCGACTCAGTCTCCCGTAGGAGCATCCGGCCAAACCATCCAAACTTTCCTTCTTTCCTCCCTCGCGTAACATGTAAATATTACACCTGTGACTTATGTAACGGTGGCAGATAGAGATAGAGTCGAATTATGATGTGCATAACATTCTCCCACGGCATTGGCAGCGAAATCTCTCTGGGCCGTCACAGTGAAGGTAAGAAGCTGTTTTCGGCAAAAGCAATCTGACTTGGCATGCAGTCCCTTCACACTCTGTAAAATGGTGCCTATCTTTTATAGCCCAAAGCAAACAATTCTTCGTAGATAAAAGTTTAAAGTAATGTACAATATTTTTTAAGAGTCCTTTCTCTTACCGACAGAAACACATCGTTCCACAAGGATTGAAGGCTACTAGATTGTAAAACCAACTTACCCATCATTTTCACTTAAAAAGCTTGCAAGCGTGTAGAAGACACGCCTTGTTTCTGGTTTCGGATCGCAATGGTGGAGTGCAGCAAACATTGGCTCTTGTGAATCTGTTATAGTTGCTTCTGTATCCACTGAGTTAAATGCCTCAGGAGAATAGAGTTGTGAAAGGCCTCCACGTCCATCAACTTTGTGCGTCCTTTTACTATAAGAGTCAACCCAAAGTCGATCACTGTCGAATGTCTTTATTCTATTACCCCTCGAAGATAGGGAATTCCTTTCTACGTAAGCATCGCGTCCCGAAGACATACTATTCCCAATGGGAGAATCTGTAGGTGCTACGTTCACTGTGATTCCTGTCGAGGGTAACGAGGACGGCCAGGGCTTACTAAAGCAGCAAACGAAGATCGTGAGCGTATATTTTAAAGAGTAGAACCTCTTGTAAGTGGGAATGGTCGACAGCCGCATAGTCCAACCTTCTGGATAAATTTGTGGAAAAATTTATTGATAAAAAAATATTTAGAAAGTGCTTTTGTGAAAGAGTTTAGTTTGTAAAGTTATCTGAAGGTTTGGCTGGATAGAAATGATTACATGAGAAATATCTACTGATCCATACTCTATAGAGTCGAATTATGATGTGCATAACATTCTCCCACGGCATTGGCAGCGAAATCTCTCTGGGCCGTCACACATAATGCAAATCTTGCTAATAATATTGTGTAACCTCCAGATAACTCTTATAAAATGCTGCTTTTCGTTTATAACTAGTTTGACTTGAATATCATAAATCCGTTTAAATCTATTAAAATAGTAGCAAATAACATTAAAAATTCCGCTAATTATCCAGCGAAATTGTTTTCAGTTAAAGTAAATTTAGGAATAAAATTTCATTATCACAAATATCCAAAAGAGTGTAAATGTAGATAAAGACATACCGTACACTGAATATTCTCTTATCTACTGATTTAAAATCTAATTAGAAAAATCATTCCGATAAACTCGCCAAAATAGGCATCAATTATTCAGTTTGAGTAGGTTTCGATACGACAATAGATCCTTAATAATTGTTGCATTCAGCCTAGGTGGCATAAGGAAGTAAAGGGCGAAAGGTGAATTTTCCCACAATTATATGAGTAGAGCTCACGATTACATTGAAGTTCACTTAGCCTTACCTACCAAAGTGATGAAAATACCTACTTAGTGATGTAATGAACTGGCACTGCAACTAGTAACGATATAATTCTAGGCGCATAGCAAACGAGCTAACCAGGAATAGATAGCCCCAGCAAGGTAGCATATGACAAATTAAGATATATTAATGGATTTAGAATTAATAAAACCGAGCCCATAGATAGAACATGAAATGAAAGTTGGTAAAATGAGATCTTTCATATTAAAATCTTTGTATGTAAATTTGATAATAGGTCCTACTCGATTTTCTTCAGTTTTCACAAGGCCTTAAATGGTCTTTTATTTATTAAACAAATTTATTTTCGTCACTAATCCAATTTGTCCCCTTAATTATTTTTGCTTAATATTTTTATTATTATTATTTATCTATTTATTTACTATTAAAAGCCATACCGTGATCAATGTGAAATGGATCTGGATTTTCAGCATACCATCTCTAATGGTGTACAATATGTATGCTTCTGGCCCTTAATTTCCTAATTGTTGAGCCTACTTCCATTTCGAGTGAAAGTGTTTGGTGAAGAGATTCGAAAGTCGATTCCGCCAGAAGACGACAGCGGATTCCTCTTGACCAACTGTCGATCGGCTTTACTGGAACATTCATTCTGACGCTGTTTCAGAGGTAATCTTCATCGTCTTCTTCTGGTGGAACCGACCTTCGAATCTCTTCACCCAACAATTTCACTCACAATTAAGAAACAAGAGATTCCTCGAAACCCTATTTTTCGTCGCATTTAATTTCCGATCTCTCAAGTAGAGCCACGCAAGTAACTTTTCTGGCTTATTCCAGGTTTGACTCCTCTCACTTCAAACGTCTTTTCATGACTTCTATTTGTCCCTCATTATCATCTTCTTGGCGATGTCTCTTCCTGTTGTTGAATGGATGCCCTTGGTGCATACGTCTTCTTTTAGCTGACCTCGCTGTATCACCAATTCTGCCCAAACAGTAAGCGAAATTCCCACAGACTCATCCATATTCCGATCTACTGTTTATTAGGTTCCTTTAAAAGAGGATTTCCACAGCCTCTATGAGGTTTCGTTTACTATGTTACCACAGCATGTAGCCACACTTTCCATTTTGTCTCAGTCACCCGTGTGGCCGGTCAGGGAACTGTGTTCGGATATCTCAGATGTTTCTGTATCCATTGCCCTACAGAGATGTTGTTCTTCTTTGGTCCTTGCTTGAAATCCTTGCATTTTGTGCTACAGACATCAGAACACTCCATTTAGTTAACTTTTTCATGTTTTGTGGGCATCTGATGAATAGAGTGGTCCTTCCCTTTTAGGATTGGACGTATTTTCCATTTCATTATTAGTGGACGAGCTTGAGAGCCAGTTTGCAAAAGGGTAGACATATCCATCGTCTTTTCTCTGTCCCCTTTTTCAACCTTTCTTAATCCCTCCTCCTCATCACTTACCGTATATTGCATTCTATTGCTTCTTCTGGATCACCGATTCCAAGATATGGCTAAGTTAGTTCCTTCGGTGCATCCTCCCAGAACTCAGGCTCCATGATTCATAGGCTTCCTATCACCATACTTCTGAGTATCCCAAATCAGAAGCTTTGCGCACGGCATCGGAAATCGGTGATGAAAGTGATTACGATTCACTAAATTGACTTGGAACGACGCACTCTAGGGCGACATTGGAGGGAGCTAGAACGCAAAATGGTGTGAATAGGCAAATGGGCGATATGAAATGGGGCTCGGGAGAAGAAATGAAGCAGTAAATTTAAGAAAAAGAATAGGGACAAAGAGTAATGCCACAAGAGTTGAAGACAACAAATTGGCCAATTGGATTGCCTCCACTTGTCACTTTGATAAGTTCCAACTCTTTGCTAACGATGGTGCCTCTCACTGACGATGTCGACAGCGATGGCGGAAAACGTCTGAGAATGCACCAAATTAAAAGTCTGATGCTGGAAATCCCCATGACTACTCAACGATAGAGGACTCAGGACTAGGTAGGCTCAACTTGGTCAAATCAAGACTATTTATTTTATATAGTTTATTCAGCAGAAACAAGAAAAACTGCTTTCTCTATCATTTACTCTTATTGATGTTAGAAACAGTTGCATCTATCGCTGATAAATGCCCGCCTTATGATTTT